TGTCCAACACTTTGTGGAGAAGATAGTATCTTTTGAAGGTCAAATGGAAGATAGTTTACACTTGAAATCCTTTTACCGATTTATTGTCACTTCTTTATAATAAAAGAGTAAACGATCAATGTCATATTTTAATGTCTATGGGATACATTTTAAATTTCTTCATTTTAAAAAAGCAGACATAAAATGGTCTACTGAATCATCACAGATTGAAATTTCCTTTTATTTAGCAGCATTTGTAAACCTAATTGAGATTTTTTACGTATGAATAATATGTAAGTTATGTATTAGATTCAAGGGAACAAGCTTTAATTTTATTTTACGCAATTGAATTTAAAACTTAGTATGTTGTACCGGACAGTGACTCTCTTTTAATCCTGTGTTTTTATTTGTCCGACTGATATTGCATTGGTTCGAAATGATTATCTGAACTTCTATAAAAAATAGAAGAAAACTACGCCATGAAAAATAGCAACATCTTTTTCTAGAACGTAATAAAGCGTATGTTAAGTGTATAGGGTGACAAGTCTGGGATGTATGGAGCATATGTACGAAGAATAAAACAAAATGTACTCAAGTTGAAGAACTACTATTGAAAAAGATAACGCTGATATGTACATGTTTGATATGTGTTTCAAATCAAACATACAAACAAAATATCCTTTCGATGGCAACAATTGACGGAGAGTTCCATCCTATATACATTTCAAACAAATGTACAAACGTAAACCCATATACTAGTACCCTCTATTTCCACACGAATACGTAACTGCAGAGTAGGTTTCTTGAAAGCAACAATATTTAAAATGTGCGGAAAGTGAGCCATTTTTAGTCATGGAATGTTAGTTTTCATCAACTAAATTTGAAGGCGAAATGCCTAAAAAATGTAAGAAACATTTTTTAAACCAAGAGTTCAAAGTGGTGAAGTTAAAATCATCCCGTTAAAAATTTTACGGACGCCATGACGAGTTGGTTGACCGTTATGGGACATCTGTTTCACAGATGACGACGGATATGTTCCAATTTTCATAACCACAATCCCGTCTCGTTTACCCAAATGTGACCTATCGAATTGACTTATCACCGGGTTTGTACTTGCATGATCAACACGACAAGTGCTTTTGGTGGGGTTCGTGTTGCTCAGTCAATAGGTTTCTATGCTGTGTTTTGTATACTATTGTTTGTCTTTTTGGTCTTTTTCGTATTTTGCTATGTCGTTGTCAGTATATTTTCGACTTATGAGTTCTTATTTCCCTTTGGTATCTTTAATCTCTCTTTTATACATATCACGTCATTTTTTCCAGGCTGATCAATGGGTTGCGTTCAATATAGTAGCCGGCAGTAAAGCCGCTATGTCCTACTGAGATTTCTATCTATGTTGACAGATATGCTTCGTAGGTAGCCTATAAAAATGGCGTCGATAGCAATATAAATCCGGCGCCATTTTGGAATCCCTAGATAACACGATTTTTGTTGGCTTTCTATATCATTTGAGCGGCTAGTCTAGTTATGCGTTCAGTGGTCAAAATCTACGTAGCCCCATGTATAGAGGCTTCGATATTGAACGCAACCCCCTTGACTGAGAACATTTAACTATGAGTGCGCTGATTTCTTTAGCTTTGATATACCAGGGAAAGTAAACTTTTTAAAAAGTCATTACTAAGAAAACATTTAACAAGAATTTGACGAAGCCTAGAATATAAGGTCGTCATTTTACAATTTTTTCACTGAATCGTATAGGACCTAAGAAGACGGAGAAATACCAAGGGAGCAATATATAACAATAAATCGAATAAAAACAGACAAACATACAGCAAAAACAACGACAAAAAGAAATCAAAACACTACACAGAAAACTAAAGATTTAGCAACTCGAACCCCACCCAAAAAGGGGAAGTGCACTCTACTGATCCATCACTTGACTTATTGCAAGTTAACACTGTGACAAGTCGCCTATGATGATGTAACAATCGAGGAAAGAATATTAACGCCGGTTCGACAAAACTCCGATGTTTGCTATGTATCTCCCTGTGACTTTTGCTACTTGGTATGTTTTTCGAACCGCATCATCGGTGATGCATTTTCAAGCATTTTGCTCTAAATGTAAAACACACTTTCATCGTTTATTTAAAACGGATGTTTGATTTTAAAGCAACACGTTTCTTCAGTTCCACCGGTTTTATAAGTTATATTTTATTCATTTTCAATTTTTTTTTCTAAATATCAATGGAAAAAAATCAATGCACATTAACGTGACCTTGATGAGGTAAATACAAATTGCATGAGAAATAACTAATCTGAAGTTATGTGCATCTCTTTAACCTGAAGTGTAAACACGGCATGACAATTTAGGAAAAGGTACGAGTTGGCGCCTTTGTTTAAAAGTCATGCGTTTGTTATGATTATATGTTGCACTTATGTATAAAAACAATTTATGTCTAAAACCTTACCACATATCATGGAATTAAGTTGTTCACATGCATAAATTTCTTACAAAGGTCTAAATATTGGGTAATGTGGCATTTTTCATCATGTATACGCCATTATTTCCTTACAGTTGAACTTTATACTAAAATTGTGTACGACCCTACCTATTCTTTGAGCCTCGATAATTCTTTTTGACCGCTATTCAATTTTATTTCCATATGTAAAATTTCCAAGTCGTGTCTCTATGAGACGAAACACGGGTTTCATATCTTGGAACGAGTATGTAAATAAAACGAAATATCTTATAGGCCACACCAATTTGATGTCTAGTTCTTCTGACAAAAGCTCTAAAAATATGGGTTACTTCATAGAAAAACAAGGGACAACAGATGCTCTAATGCATATATATTTGAATTATTGGTGCCTGTACCATACCAGTAGTTCTCGTCCCACTGTGGTTTTGATAATTTTGGTTATTTTTTTTCAAGTAAGCTTTGAGAGAATTTTTATTTAAATATATATATTTATTTAGGACGCATAGCAGATGCAGTTTTAAAGAGGATTATGTTAGTTATGTAAATGACACATGTTGAATAAATTTAGAATAATTGTATGTATCCCCAAAAAATGCCCCAGGAAGATATTCGATAGAATATATATAAAAAAAGAAGATGTGGTATGATTGCCAATGAGACAACTCTCAACAAGAGACCAAATGACACAGAAATTAACAACTATAGGTCACCGTACGGCCTTCAACAATGAGCAAAGCCCATACCGCACAGTCAGCTATAAAAGGCCCCGAAATGACAATGTAAAACAATTCAAACGAGAAAACTAACGGACTAATTTATGTACAAAAAATGAACGAAAAACAAATATGTAACACATAAACAAACGACAACCACTGAATTACAGGCTCCTGACTTGGGACAGGCACATACATACAGAATGTGGCGGGGTTAAACATGTAATCGGGATCCCAACTTCCCCCCCTAACCTTGGACAGTGGTGTAACAGTAGTTGTTTCATTATAAGGTTATGATTGTTTATTGGCTGCTTGACATCCAGTTAGAACTATTTATCTATATTTAGGATAAAAAAAGTTGATGGGTTGAATATTTTTTGCTTTGTACTAAAACAACACCCTGAGTCAGATAGTTAAATTGCTTTACATGTAGATCCCAATGTATTAAAATATTCCCTTAAAATACCTGTCACCCCATTCACACGCATTATTCTGACTGAGCAAAATACGCTTTGCTTTTGCTCCTTAAAGCTTCAATGCATTTAAAACCCTTTAGCTTAACTAGAAGTGGTTGAACTAATTACACACCTCTAATTATTATGAGCATGCAATTGCAATGCCATATCCTTTGTCTCGTGTGAACTCTTTAAATCACCCCTAACAAAAGATGACTTCTCCTTGCATGCCAAAAGACTAACAAGTGGATATGGGGTTTCATCAAAATCAAATACTTCTTTACTTTTTTAAAAAGTTCATTGGAATTTACAATTTATTTCATTCAATAACAAGGATAGGGGATGACGGTGGTTCTAACAAATATTGATGTGTTTGCGGTCATCGAACGAAATAATTTCAATATTTGCATAATAGAGCAGGTCTTCAAAGGTAAAACGAGAAGCATTTCAGATAACTGTGTGTTAAATAACTACTTTACAAATCGTTTTATCTTACGTTCGTTTGATTGAAGCATTATACATGTATGCAACAGAAAAGCGTCTATTTGAAAAAAAAATCAAGGAGAAACTAATTTTGGAGCGGCATGCGGGCAAAAAATATGCGGAAGAGGTAGTTATTTTTTTTTTTATTGAAAAGTCAATTTCTCCAAAACAGGAGCGGGAAAATCCAAAGAACTAGGAATCAATTTGGTGTGGACTACTGAATAAATAACATCTCTCCAAAAGAGACGGTTTGTGAACCAGCTCTCTGTTTACAAGTGCAACCTCAACCCCGGTCTGTTGACTCCATTTCCTTTTAATCAGTCTACATTGCAGTGCTTGTATATTTTGAATTGTGTTAAATCCCTAAATAACACAAATTGTCACAATTATTATGAAACAAAAATGTTCATGTAGCTATTTTTTATAAGGAGCTAAGTGTTTATAAATTACCGACAACGTCGTGTGTACATTTTATCGTTTGTAACATAATTGATTCAATCAGTTTACTGTGTTTTCAATGTTGTGAGGATCGCCTGCACTTTCTATTCGGGATCGTATTTGTCTAGTGTTCAATTTGCCATAAAAACAACATAATTAAATACCATCGGGACCATGTTAAAACAGACAACACCGCGACAACAAAACATGAGAGAAAAACGAACAACAACCCAGAAAATGCTAAACAGAATACTTAAGACTGAACAGCATAAACACCACCAAATTGTTCATATGTCTGTATTTTTCTTCGATTTTGCAATAGTTAAGACAGTTTTTTATTACCAGCAATGATTGTTCATCTTTAAATTTATTCAAATATACATTGAGTTCTGTATTTTTGGTGTTTTGATTCAGTATAGGCCGATAATAGATGATATATAAAGAAACAAAGAATGTTTTCTGATTTTTATTTAAGATTCTACAAGCTACATAGTAGATACATGTAAAACAACATAGTTGCTACTGGTAAAACAATTACATTTCTTATTTATAAACTAGAACAAGCTGCATAGCAGTTACAGTTAGAGTATGGCCACGTGGTAATATGTTTTCATCATTACTATATAACGATATTTGTCCACGCTTCTCGTCTGTTCAATAGCTATCGATATTAACGTATAGTTGTACATGGTTTAGCAAGCACATAAATACTTTCATAGTGTTCTTTACTCCGAGTCGATCTATTCTCGGCTCTGTAACATCTCGGTTTTGTATTGTCTCTGAAGAAATACTCTATATTGACATACACATTTCGCACACTGTCTTTTCTGGAGGAACAAAGCGATTTCATAATGCTTTGGTGGCATTTGTTCACTTAATTTTCTACTGGTGTTCATCCGGATGCATCCCCAAAGATCCTCACTGCTTTTTTGTGTAGCTTTACATCAAACTCAGGTTCTGTTAATCTAATGACTTCACCGTCACAGTTCAGGTAGAAATCTTTTTGGAGTGTTTTCTTATTTTCAGAAACTGTAGCATTCAGCAATCGGACTTTATAACTAGAGACTTCGTGTTGGCTTACAAATTTGTAATCATACTAAAAAATTAAATATAAATTACTTAATCATTTTTCAACATTTATTCTTAAAAGAGAAAGCAAATGAAATGATTTCCGTTTGTTTAACACGTGTTTCTGGAATAATCTGCATCAGATGTGAGTTTGGAAAGCCAAAAAATACAAAACGTTGTTGAAAAAAAATACTTTGCACGTATAATGTCAACATAAATGCATGCACTGGTAATTTGAATACCAAATGTATCCATTTCATGTAGTGTTTTGTAGATTACTGTTTGTCTTATCGTCGTTTTCTTGTTGTTTATTTTTTGCCATGATTTTGTCAATCACTCTTCGATTGATGAGATTGATTCTCCCTGTAGTATCGTCCTTTAAATCATACCAACAGCCACTTGTTAATTGATTTTTGTTTTAGATTAAACATATCAAGAGTACTATTCGTTTACTTTTCTACATTGGCTAGAGGTATAGGGGGAGGGTTGAGATCTCATAAACATGTTTAACCCCGCCGCATTTTTGCGCCTGTCCCAAGTCAGGAGCCTCTAGCCTTTGTTAGTCTTGTATTATTTTTAATTTTAGTTTCTTGTGTACAATTTTGAGTTTAGTATGGCGTTCATTATCACTGAACTAGTATATATATTTGTTTAGGGGCCAGCTGAAGGACGCCTCCGGGTGCGGGAATTTCTCGCTGCATTGAAGACCTGTTGGTGACCTTCTGCTGTTGTCTGTTCTATGGTCGGGTTGTTGTCTCTTTGACACATTCCCCATTTCCATTCTCAATTTTACTTCTAACTTTTAATAGTTATTCTATGATGTTATACTTCTTTTATTAAAATGAAATTTATAATGTGTTCTTTGTTCAATTCTAAGATTAAAATTGATTATGAATAGTTTTAAAATTGATACCTTTATTCAAGTACTTACACAATCGGGTTTTTCGTTTTTCACTTTGGTTAGCTGTGACACGTGTTCTGACAATGTGCATTTATGAGTGGTGTACACCATAAGTGAATCCTGTCCGAAACGTGGAGTCATTCTTCCTGATTTTTCTTTCATCATAACGGCTTGTGTATCTACTGCATACACACGTCCTTCCTCTTTTTCACATTCTGGAAAGCAATCAAGTATTTATTAAATGATTTGAAACTGCCTTTGTTCAAATTAAACTGAAAAAGTATAACGGGAAGTGTTTTACACAAAATCTATGAATTTCAAGGAATTAATTTTTTTAAGAAAACCCCGTAGTTAAATGGTTGTTTTAATTTTAACTTTAGTTTGATATTAAAAAGTTATTTGTTTTAAATAATCAATCATATAATTAGTTCTATAGTTTCATAGACATACCTTGGACATCTGAACTGTCAAGTACACCTGATGTGGATTTAGTTCGTTGTATTTTTGATTTACATGAAGGTATCATGAAGCCATTTGGAAGGGATATTTGTTTTCCCAATCCTCTAATTCTTTTTGACGTTTTTTCCTTGTTAGCTGAATAATATTCTATCTCCACATCGATTTCCCTTCTCTTTAACATAGAAGCCACAGGGACAACTGTTGAAAAAATAATATATATTGTACAAATTTTATAATCGATAAACTAAACATATGTAAAAACTATTGACAGAAATTTTGGCACTTTTATTTTATTATGATATACCGATGTGTGTATACAGAGACATATAAAACGACTGTATTATATATCTCTGGCGTATATACGCTCATTATAGGTATCCCATTTTTGGCCTTTTCAAAATTGATTTACATTTCTCCTAAACCTTTGCAAAAATTTTATTTTTTATCTAAACTTTAATACAGGAACATTTTCTGCGGTCAAATATTCATAATGATTAAATCAGTATTTAAATTTTCAAAATATACACACCATTATATCTTAACGGTCCCATCCACCGAAACTTTTCACAGTCGTGCATCATATCACCAAACAGTCCAAATCCAAGAATGAGTGCCGAATATGACAAAAGTTTGCCTCCTTCGTGAACACTACACACGTTGGACTCGACGTTGCCACCAAGTAAGATATGCAGAACAGCAGTGCGTGCACATTTAGTCCCATGAAGATATTGAACAATCACGTTACCGGAGCCTGCTGGAATGATGCCAATTGGAAGTGATGCTGACACAATGTCAGTATTGTGACAATTTGCATTCACATTTTTGTCCCGTTGAACACGTGCAATCAGTCCATTCATACACTCACAGTATGAACCATCACCTCCTACTGTTACTATACTATAATTAAAAATGACGTTTATTTCCCACAAGCAACAAGAAATAGTCATGTTACACATATATTATTAATGCTTCGCTTAGTAAAGGTTGTGTAACAATATTTAATAAACATATCAAATAAATGACTATCTGGGTTTTGTTTTTTTTACATGGGATTACGTTTTTTTTATAAGTTTAATGGTATTTACAAGTTTTTATCTTAAACTTATTATTCAAACTTTATTTTGAAAAGATAGAAACATTTTAGAATGTATTTTATCGTCGGTTCAAGTAGATAATCATTAGCTTTTATCAATGAGATGGTAAAAGTAATTTAACCTACCCGTCAATATTCGAAAGGTTGTAGTTTTTCAGGATATCCGTAGGCTCTTTTTGTTTACTAGTTACTGTAATAAAAAAGAAATAAACACTATAGTATTAATTGATTGTTTTTCACCCGCACCCTTTGTAAAACAATGTTAGTCGATTACAATATTAACCTGTTAAATTTGGTTTTACCGAACATAAATGTTTACAGCAAGATATGATTTAAAATGTATGTATTTTTTAAACAAAGGAAGACATTTAACTGTAAATTTTTGCTCAATAATGCATCTAATTATAAGTATTCGGTAAACAGGAAGTTGAAGAGTATAGCATGCTAACATAAAGCCTTTATTCTTAGTTCTTGGGAAAAATGCGACCACAATTTAATGGGATGGGAAACACGGATGGACGGACAAATTTGAACCAGTATACTCCCACTTTTGGAGCGGGAATATAATTGAATCAATTCAAAATTAGTTAAATATTCAAACTAAAAATGTGAAAAAAATAAAATTAACAGAAGTACAAAAAATGTTTCCCCGAAAAATAATTGACTTACCAATGACATCAGCTTTCACGTCACACAGTTGGAATAAAGGAGCTGCAATTTTTTTGTATATTTTTATTCCTTTCTTCTTCCCACTATTTGGGTTGACGATTACTAGAAGCCGCCTCGGACGATCTTAAATGGAAGATTGGAATGATAAGACATTTGAATAAAAGTGATCCAGTATCAGTGCATACGAAATGCTTAAATATCAGCGAGTGTCTATTGTGAAACCAAATAGGTCATATTTATTTATAATCTGTAGAATCCATAGATACCAGTTTAGAAATGATGTTTTTTTTTTCATCAGTAAAGATCAGTTAAATATTTAAAACAGTTTATATATACATCATACAAACATTTTACAAATGTAATGTACAAATAAATAGAATACAAAATAATACAAAAAATATTTAACTTTTGATTTGAATAAAAAAGTAATTAAAATAAATACCTTTTAATGTGTGTTCGATATCACTGTGCAATATTTGTGCATCCTCCTCATCTCCATGAAGGGTCAACGTTTTCATTTTTAGGGTCATATTTGTCTTCTTTATCACATAATGCACAGTTAAATTTGTTCGTTCCAACACAGTCTTTAACAGATAACGTATCTCTATTGACGCTGTAAATAAACAAAAACAAGTCGTTTTTTTAACTGTTCTTTAAAAGAAGGAAATATGCAAAAAAAACATAGTTGTGGATCAACACAGTATACCGTTTCTCTTGAAATTCATAAAAAGAAATACGAAATAAATTAAATAGCTACCATTCGTGCAACAGTGTACAATATAAAAACACTTGCGCACTACTTCGTTAAAGTAATATCAATAGTTGTGAAAGTTTGTTTCGTACCAAGTAAATTATTTTCTTCGCTTGCAACAGTCATCACACCTCCTTCCAAACTAACATTGACACGGTTGTCGTTTAAGAAAAGCATTTTATATTTTTGTATGTGTTTTATCAAAGTTAAACTCATTGAATGATCGTTGTATAGTCGACTTCTCTTATATATATATATATATAGTATGTCATCTACGAAATAACAGGAGTGATAACCGGAAAAAATAATCACTTGAATAACGATCGTTATATCCCCATATGCTGCTTTAACTTCTTTTGATTGGCGTTTAAAAATTTAAATATCGATCTGTTTATTGTTGATGAGATTGAAGTAGGTTCAAGTGTTATCTATTGCAAGACTACTTTACCTTTTATCTTTGATACTTTATAATAATGCACATTATTAAAGAATTTTTCTACGCAAATCAACATCAAAATCTAAAATATTTATAATTTGTTATTATAAATTAAGTTTTTTCAGAGGCAAGTGTCTGGCGATCTGAAATCTGTTTCACACTTGTAGATTACTACCACTGTGTCAGACCCATTACTGGAAGGTTATGAGTCCCAGAGTATACCATGACATACCATCCTCACAGTGCTAAGGGCTTTGACTCTGTAATAATTAAAATGCTACATTTTGACTGTAAATTATTATTTGTATATGATTTCAACTTCCTAAGGCTTGGGTGACCTTAGACATCTTTTGCTGTTCTGTTTTAGTCCGTTTACTTTTTTGTGATTTTAAAACGTATTTTATTTTTCTTCTTTAATTTTTAGTCTTGAGTGTACCTGATGAAGCTTATATCAGAAAAAAGTACTTTGCACATGGAAATTTATATTGTATGAAAAAACTATTGTTCTATGTAAAACATAGTAAAAGTTTGAAGCGACAGTCTTTCTTTTTTTATTTTATGTACCGTTGTATCGTAAATGTACTTAATGGTTCTATTAATTACAAAATATTCTTTCAAAACGTTAATTTCAAGAATAAGGGTAGGCGATTTTGATAAATTTTATTCGTTATCAAGTAAAATTAAAGGTAATATCCATCTGCATTTAGTCATTGATAAAGTCGAGAATGTACCTAATTCATTTGCATGTGAGTTTTATCAGGCATGTTACTGTATTATCCAAAGAAAAGGAAGTTTTAAATAACTTGACTGTAGTTTTTCTGATTTGAGAACAATGGAGTTCAAAATATGACCCATTTCGTGGAAAATACTTACTGTACTTTTTGTATTAAAATTACATTTTCGATTATTCATCTTTTGTCTCCTTGTAGTTCTTCTACGGGGAATTTATTGCCATTTTTTTTTATATAGATGAAATGATAGAAGTAAATAACTACATACAGGTAGATTTTTTTTCAACCCTGATTATTCATCAGAAAAATGTAGATGTAGAAAATCAGGTGTTTTGAAAGTATTTATTGTTTTTCTTATATATAACCACATACGTATAAGTGGTTTATTACAGGTAAGAGAAGAAAGCGACGTTGTTACTTCCATTAAATTCCATTCGAGTTATATTACACGAATTATCTGGGTATTTGGTCGAATCAGATGTCTGCAACACGTATTATCAAAACATATAAATGTCTTTTTCACTTCATCGGTTTGGAAAACGGGTATATTTTTGAAATTGCTCATACATATTAAACAGATAAAACTTAAAACTATCTTAGGTTTAATACAGTAAAATGAATTAGTTTTTAGATTTTTTTGTCCAATTCTTTAGTAATAATTAGTTTAGATGTACTCTGATTCTCTTAATGAATCATCACAAAACTATGAACTACCTGTTATTGAATATTGACAAATGTTCAAATGTTGGTTGTGTATGCATATCTTGATAATATCTATTTTTGGAATGTTCAATTTACCTTTCTATACTGACCTTTTTTACAAAACTAACCCGTTTTTCGAGACGTAAAAAGACGTTGGAATAATGTCACTGAGACTTATTATTTATAACTCATGAATATTAGAAATCATACAATGAAAATGTTTGATGAATACATTATGCAACCTTTTACATATAAAAAAGAACCTTAAAAAAACGACAGCATGAATTACTAAATTTTATAAAAAAAGTAAAGTATTTTGATTTTATTTTAAATAATGCAAGGTTAAAACTAGTGCTCTCTCAGTCCTTTTGCAATTCATTTTCATACCAAATTTTGCAATGCCTCTCGATTGTTGTCTGCCTATCAATTTACGGATTCTTGTGAAACATTCATGTAATGTAATATTATAATGAGTTCTATTTTAACAAGTTACTTTACGAAACAAAAGATGAAGTTTTTTTAAATCATGTTTTTTTTTCTTATGAAGTATAAAATTAACCTTACTCCAGTGAATAAGAAACGCAATCCTCCAATAGTTTCAATTATTTTAGTGGTTTGAATGCAACAAATAACTTAATATTCCCATTAGGACATTTAATCGTTTGTGTTGGAAAATATGTTTTTTCTCGTCTTCCTGTTTGTCTCTAGGATTGTTCATGTATCAATGACATTATTAATACACAAGCAACTAGAATAAAATCTTAAAAATAAATAAACAACACCAGTGAGAGGATACCAAAGGAGCAGTCGAAAAATATGGACAGGAAAATGACAGGAAAGACATAAAGACAAAATATAGCCAACAAAACATTACACCGAAAACTTAGGATTGAGCGACACGAACTAATAGAGAATGCGCGAATGAGTAAAGACGTGTTAACAACTCTACTGATAAATTGGCATATATGAATGTAAAATATACATAATAGAATCCCAAACTTGGCAGAAAATTAAAATGATGTGTTCAGAATTAAGCTGTCAGAGAAACATTCTGAAAGAACGATCAATCGGTCAATCGGACAGGTAAAAAGACGGTGACAATATGGCCACCTCCATGAACATAAACAAAGAGGAAGTAAATAACAGTTTAGTCGCATGTTTACAACCAATTCTTCCTTCACAAACACTAGTAACTCCAACCACACACCAAAAAAAGCGGGAAACCGAAAAGTCCCATTCAACTTTCTGCCACACAAAAACAGGTATTTCGACTTAGACGATGTCGTAATTCCATTGGAGACCTTAGTGAACTTTGTTGCAAAAGAGGCGCATCAAAACTGGGGAAGTCTTGGAGACTCTTAGAAGCCCGGATGTCCTAAATCAAGTCATACCTATAATATCAAATAAAATAAGTGAATCAATCTCGTTCTTGATTGATGACAAAATTCAAACTAGTATTGATAAACATATCCAATCACTAAATGAAAAAGTACAAGACCAGAAAAAGATAAATGATAAAAATACCAAAATATATCTGTATTCAATTCATAAAAAATTAGTGAGATACAGTCTTATGTTTACCAAAAGGCAATAACTGCAGAGGAACAAAATACAGAAATCGGTTTACTATATCAAAAAGTTACAAAATTAGAAGAGAGGATTTTAAAATCAGGAACATTACTCCAGGAGAACAAGTTTAAGATTTAATAAAATATCTGATCAGTAGATGAATGAGGCTGTACACATCATCTATTCAATACAGATGAGTTGGTTTTAAATGTATGCAACAACAAACTCGAGCTTAATCTACATTTAAATGATATAAGTTGCTCTTAAACAATTGGAAAGGCTAGGTATGGAAAATCCCAGGTTATTGTCAGTTTCGTGTGGTATCGCGTGCATTACAAAGTATATAGCAATTCAAAACAAAGCATTTATAGCAGAACCTGAATGCATCTTTATCACGGACAATCTTACGCCTTACAGCACTGATTTGATAACTAGACTTGCGGATAATTCTAACTTTACAATTAAAACTACGAATAGCTTCTTTTCCTCGATATTGACATCACCGAATTTAAATTGTCACCGAATTTTAACTTGCACTAATCATCACGAAGGAGCTTCTTCCTCTCAAGGAGCACCTTGCTCACTATTTAGTAGCTGTGTGGTGTTTTGTAGACTGTTGTTTCTTTTTATGTCATTTTTCTTTTGTAGGATAATATAAAAGAAAGGCGGAAGATACATAGAGGGCATTTAAAAGTCGATAAGAAACTTACAACACAAGTGCTCAAAAAAACGAAACACGACGAAAAGAATAAATAACAAGTTCAAAAACAATGCATAGAAAACTAAAGATTGAGCAACACGAACTCTATTACAATCGGGGTGATATCCGGTGCTCTGGAAGGATGAGCACATTCAGCTCAACATATGTGACACGCTTTATGTTTCTCATGGTAAATACAATTTCTTCGATAAGTCTCATTTGTTGATGTGGCATTCGAAGAAAAGAAGACATGTTTTTCCATTCTCAATTTTATTGTCTTCGATTTTCGAATTATTTTTTGTCCACTTGGTAAAATGTGCTTTTTTCCCTAGTAAGTTACACCTCTCTAGCAGGGAAACACAACCCTTGGAAATTGATATGTCGAAAGTGTAAAGTGATGTTAGGAATATTTGTAGAAACCATAAATCAAATACTGAAATTCAGAAATTATTGCGAGGTTTTCATTATTGCGAAAATTCGACTGGATCATTATGTCAAGAATAAGAACTCGAAATTCTGAAATCCGACACATATATATTTGTATGCAGCTTTTCCTGAAATCGCAATAATTATTCGCACATTTTGGTATGTCATGTCGAAATTGCAACAATTTCTGAATTTACAGTATTTGAAAGTAATAAACAGTAACTGCGCGTCCTCTCAAATATCTACTTGGTGTTTTAATACCTTTTATAGTTGTTGTTTTTAGTTGTCTGTTGATCTGATGAGAAACGTCTTTTCAATTGAGTTTATAAAATTGAGAATGGAAATGGGGAATATGTCAAAGAGACAACAACCCGACCAAAGAGCAGAAAAAAGCCGAAGGCCAACAATGGGTCTTCAACACAGCGAGAAAATCCCGCACCAAGAGGCGGGCTTCAGCTGGCCCCTAAATAAAAATGTGTACTAATTCAGTGAAAATGGACGTCATACTAAACTCCAAAACATATAAATGAACTAAAATTTAAAAAAAACCTACAAGACTAACAAAGGCCAGAGGCTCCTGACTTGGGACAGGCGCAAAAATGCGGCGGGGATAAATATGTTTTGTGAGATCTCAACCCTGCCCCTATACCTCTAGCCAATGTAGAATAAACAAACACATAG